AATAATTCTTTAAAAAATAAGTCTATCTTATTTATTGAACTATAAATGTTTCACCTTATTGCTTCTCTCCCTATGCATAAATGGACTTGCCGAATAGTATTATAAGTTGTGGATGAAAATATGTGTTTGATTTTATGTAGAGAACTTGCCTCATGCCTCATTCTGTACTTGTGAGGGTTTACATATGACTAATTCTATCTACTCTGGGCCAGACCCCAGGAGCTCATGACCAAGATAAAGGGTGAGGGGGTGAGGAGGAGTTTTTGTCCTAGCATACCTGAAATGTGTGTGGTCCCATAGCTTATTTCATGAACTTTCTTTACTTCCCGTCCTGGTTCCTAATCTGAATTTACAATAGTCTCCCTTTGCTACGTATTTATCTTGTGTATCCTCCCTTAAAGGGGGGGCCCAGATTCAGGTTTAGCCTGTTCCAAGAGGATATACCCTTTCGGAATCCTTTTTTGACTCTAGGAATGTTAGGTACACAGACTTCTTTGATTCTCTTTGTGTTCTGCTTACAGAAGATGCAGCCATGTAATCCTGTGCAATTGAAATAAAGATGATACATTTCATTACATGATTATCTACCGTGTTTATGGGAGCGCAAAGAAGGGACACCTCATTTTTCCTGAGAGAGGCAGAGGGCTTCCCTGAGAAATGAAGCCTGAGTTGGCACATAAAGATTAATCATGGTCTTGCAAGGAATATGATGGGAACTCTTTTTCTGGTAGAGTTCAGTGAAGAGCCGGACCTTGTCTCTCTTACTCACCACGGTATCCCTATCACCTGACACAGAACTTAGCGTTCTGTACATACTTAAATAGTGCACCAGTAAAAGAATGGCTTTATTTTGAAGGCCATTGGTGTCTTGGAGCAGGGACACATATAAGATTTGTGTTTGATGAAGAGTAATGTGGTAGCATTATAGTAAGTGAACAAAGAGAATGGTACAGGGAGCGATTTAGTAACACAGTCTGTGGAAACTCATGGGAGAGATGCCTTTTAAGTAATCTCCTATCTCCTTCCAAATTCATAGAGATTCTGTATCCTCTGCGCAGATGGGAGTTTTCCAAGTTTGCCTTAGGAAGATACAGTCAGTGCCTACTTTCACTCCTTAAAAGGCTTAATAGGAGGCCAGCCCATGGTGTGATAATTAAGGCAGCTAGATCCCACATGGCCCAGTGTGGGGTTTAAGTCCCAGATCCGGTGGCTTGAGAAACACACTGGGCACTTGTGCATGCATGCCCAAAATCCTAACAGGAGAATGGAGAAGGGACTGTAACATGGCCATCCCTGGGTGTGGGAGGTGTTTTCTCACTCCACCCATCATACCACCTGTCTCTTTCCAGAGACAGTGCACACACCCTATAGCAAATTTAAAAAAAAAAAGCTTAATAGGCAAGCCTTGTGGCACAGCAGTTAGGCACTGCACCAGCAAACTGGATCTCACATCACCCTGGTGACTTCACCCCAGGCTTAGGTGTATCTATGCAGGATTCTGATGGGAGGAAGAATTAGAGCATGAAGGATTGTGGTATGCCAGGCCCTACTGATTTATTTTCTCTCTCTCTCTCTCTTGCACACACATGTACTCTGTATCATGAATAAGTATAAATAAAACTTTTTTCAAAGAATTATTTACTATCATTATTTTTCAATTTTGACTGGAGAGCGAGCGAGCCTCCAGGTCCACAACTCCGTAATTTGCCATGTGGGAGTCCAGTACTTTTAACCACCATGCCACTTGCCAGCCCCCATAAAACTTTTTTAAAAAGGTTTAATAAAAGTTGAAAGTGGGCCAGCAGGTGGAGTGGAGGTTAAGGTGCTAGATCCCAGCTGGCTGGCTGTGTGGACCTGGCAGCTTGAGAATCTAACTGGCCCAATGTCCTGAGAGAAGAAGGGATCACAGTTCAGCCTCCCCCCTGGGGGGGCCGGAGATCTCTTTCTTTTCCTCTCTATTTTTCTCTCTCTGGCAAGCACATGCACCCCATAGCAAAAAACTAAACTTAAAATAATTAATTAAAATTTTAAAAATGTTTAAAAAGTTGAAAGTAATTCACAACATGTTTAAGAATTGCCTTTTCAATTGCATGTAGGAAATAGAGGAAGTTTGCAAACGATGTGCTGTATGGGCAATAAAGACAGCCTACTACCGTGTTATGTGTTTCTTACTCACTGTGGGTCCATGAAATGTCAGTGCTAGGATGGTCATCTGGTCTCTCTGTGGTTGACGAAACATAGACCACCGCCAATTCTTGTTTTCTGAGTGAAACTTAAGAGCAGTCAATAAAAGACTTGCAGAATCCTGTGCTCCTCAGTCACAAATGATCTCAAGTTTAGTGGCTTAAAACATTGCCCATTTATGAGGAAACTTCAAAATCATGGAAAATGTAGTTAATTAAAGTATGAGTTTATTTTGGTGCATGAACATTTTGAAGACCTGTCTTACTAGCTCATAATTTCTGAAATCGGGAACTCAGCATGGCCTGGCTTGGTTCTCTATTCAGGGCTTCATGAGGTCAGGGTGGGCTGTCCCTGTCACCTAGCAATTAAGGGAACTGGATTCCACATGGCTGACTGCAGTTTGATTCCCAGCCACAATAGCTTGAAAAAAAAACACCGGGCATGTGTGCTTGTGTGCACAAAATCCCAACAGGTTATAGAAATGAAGGAGAAGAGATTGCAACCTGACCACTCTTTATTGGGATTGCTTTCTTTCTCTCCTCTCTCCCCCGCCCTCTCTTTTTCCTTCTCTGGTGAGTGCATGAACCCTCAGGCAATAAAAAATTTAAAAAGTGACTAGGTCAAGTTTTGGTTGTAGGCTCTGAGAGAAATCTATTTTTAAACCCACCTTGCTGTTGGCAGAATTTGGCTCTTTGTGGTTGGAGGACCAAAGCTCTTGTTTCTTTGCTGATTGTAAACCTGGGATTGTGCACATCTTCTAGGGACCACTGCTCTTATTTGTCATGTGGTTTTCGTATCCTGAAGGCAGCAATGGTGTATCAAATTTTTCATATGAGTCAATCTCCATCTTCCGTTTTCACCTCTAGGCTAAAATTTTAAAATATTTTCATGATTAGGATTGGCCTACCCAAATAATCTGTGAAAGTCAACTGTGGGGATCAGCAGGAGGCATAATGATTAAGGCACTAGACTCCAATATGGTCGACTAGGGTTTCAGTCCTAGACCTGGTGGCTTGCTTTCTCACTTTCCCACTCTTTCTCTCTCTCTCTCTGTTTTTTTTTTTTTTTTCCTCTCTGTCTCTGGTAAGCTCACATGTTAGATAGCAAATTAAAAATAATAAATAAAATGAAATAAATCCTTAAAAAGAAATCAATTGTGTTACAGTATAACCATTGATGGGGGTAAAGTCCATCATATTCACATTGCCAAGGATTATGCAGAGTGTATTCACCAATTGTGCTACTGTGGGACCCACCTTGCCACTCTGCCTATGAAACTGGTATTTGTAAAGGGATGATTTTTTTTTTAAACCAGGGTATAAACAATGTCTTACATAGAACATTGTAAGATCTTAAGAGAAACACAGCAAATACATGAATGAATTAATATTTGAAAAGCAATGCATCGTTTAATGAAGCAATTTTCTAACATCTGACCTTAACAGATTTATTATTACTAATCTTTAGAAATCTGACTTGTATGTGATCCATTCATTTCTAAATTACTGTCATTCATGTCACCAACCAAACAAACAAAAAACCGACTAAAACTATTTCTATATCAGTTACTGAAAATTGAGAGAGTGGAATGGGCTTTTACTGTTTGTACAAGGAAAAACAAACAATGGCATATAATCTATACAAAGACACCATCAACTCAAAGTGCATTTTTGCAGTGAGATTTTTGTTCAGTTCATTTGAATGGTAAAATAAGCTACCTTTCAAAGCTCTGGGGGCACTTTAGATTTAGAAAGGAATGTGAGACAGTTTAGCCAAGTGCACAGTTGGCTAATGTCAAAGTTAGACAGTTCTCCACACACCTCACTGCTGACACCATTACAAGCTGGTGTCCAACCTCCTTCAGGTTCCCCCATTTGCTAGAAAAACTCTGAAAGCCAAAGGCAGGGCTGGCCCCATGAACTGTGGTTAAGGGATCCAGATCTCACATGGCTGACCACATGGGTTAAATTCTGGCCCTGGTGGCTTGAAAAATAGACTGGAAGCATGTGATGCCTGCCCCCAAGCCCATCAGAATGGAGAAGTGGAGGAGAAGGGATTGTAATATGACTGCACCCTTTGGGAGGTTGCTTCCCCTCACCCCTCTTTCTCGGTGTCTCTCTGGCAAGCACAAGCATTCTCTGGGATGCACACACACACGTATACACACAAAAAGGAAGGAAGGAAAGAAGGAAGGCAAGTGAAGGCTAATCTCTCTTAAAGCAAGATTAGTTCATTACATTAAAGGGAGGAAAAGAGGAATGAATGCCAATAACAGTTGCTATTTTCAATAGTATATTCATATCAGGCAGTGTGCTAATCATTGTTTCCTTTAATCCTTAAACAGCATTATTTGAAATATACTATAATTATTCTCATTTTACAGATAGCTGGATTTAGTCAGATTAAGTAATGTATCCTAAACCATGTAAATAATAAATGGCAGGACCTAGATTTGGGCTTCTGTTAGCCTAATTCTAAAGGACAGGAGTTCAAACACATCATTGTATTGCTTCCACCAAAACCAAAAGACAATAATGATGTGTAAAATAATATGCAGTTAGAGGCAATTATTCTTGAGAACTGAGTTTTGGGAGTAGGGTTGTCATTCAAATTTACAAGAATGTGCACAGTTACTTTACTAAGCATGCAAAGATGGAAGGGTACTATGTAGAATGGCTGTGTCATTTAATTCATACCTTCCAAACGGATTTCAATCAGCACTCTGTCATTTAATTCATTCAAGCACATTTACTGGGTGTTCGTGTATCTTGCATATTCCAGGTGCTGTGCTGACCACTGTCGATCCAAAGATGCTAAAAAATATGCTTCTGCCCAAAAGGAGTTAGCAATCTACTAGGGTATGTAAAATGCTTATCTTATTATTTGTATCATTATGTTTGTATTATATAGACCATAGAGCGCAATTCTTTTTTTTTTTTTTTTTTTTGGAGAGATTTTCACTGTAGGGCGCGTGCGCTCACCAGACAGACAGAGAGAGACATAGAGACAGAAAGCGAGAAATCACCCCCCGGGGGGATGGTCACGCCGCAATCCCTTCTCCTCCATTCTCCTCTCGGGATCTTGGGCACGCACGCACACGCGCCCGGCATGAGTTTTAAGCACCGGGTCCGGGACACGAACCGCGGTCGACCACGTGGGAGTCTAGCGACATAGCCATTATGCTAACTGCTGGTTCCCATAGAGCGCAATACTTAAGAAAGAGTTCACACACAATTTTGCAAGCATTTAGAACAATTTCTTTTTGATTGAATGAGCTAAGGCTAAAGAAATTTGGTAATTTAGAGATAGTGGTTCATATGACCAAACAATTAATTAAACTCTTTCAGGTTTAATTTTTGTAGATTCAGTGATAATAGGATAGAATTTTTTTTAAACTTTATATTTACTAATTAGGATAGAATTTTAAAAAAGGAAATCTACTTGGATCAGGAGGTAGTATGGAGGTCAAGGCAGCTGGATCAGAAATGGATGACTGTGGTTCAAATCCCATACCCAGTAGCTTGAAAATCACTCTGAGCACATGTGTGTACATGCCCCAAATCCTAGAGAGACTGGAAGAGAAGGCTTATGTCATGGCCATGCTCCCTGGGAGGTGATATCTCACTTTCCCCCTCTCTGTCTTCCTCTGGCAAGTACATGTGACCTATAGCAAATTTGAAAAAGTAGTAGTGGTTTAAAGAAATATTTCTGACACACGTGCATATTTCCTATACTTGCATGTATTTGAAGGCAAATGAAAGAATAGGATGCCACAAAGCACATCATACAAAGCCACAATGTACATTTCATCTTCGCATATACGACACTGACTCTTAGGCTTTTTGTTAGTGATAACTGTTCTCTTTCATCTTCTTCCACATCATTGATTTCTCCGGTTGAGCAAAGCCTATGTTGGAATTAGATAGATTTTCTTGCTTAGTTAATGTTGATTTTTGACAAAATATGTATTTTATTTGAGTCATGATTAAAAATTGTAACAGTTTGTAATAGTTTAGACTTACAATAAATTTTGCATTAGTAGCTGGAGATAGTCCCAAAGGATTAAATATAGGAAATGCAGTAAATACAAACAAAAGATATTTTATTCCAATGATACTTTATGTGTTTTATAGCTTAATAAAGGAATGGGATTAGAAGATAAAATAATAAATGTATATTGAACCAGTGTCCAGTAGGTTATGAATATACTACACAGACCTAGCAGTGATATATTTGGACATATTTAATAGGTGCACTAAGACACTCTCTAGATTACACATTGTAACTGCTGAGAGTGCAATTCTGATCATTTAAAAATGTTAGCAAAGCAGGAAAAAAACATGTCTCTTCTCTTGGCAATATGATTTTAATTTTTAAAAGCATTTAATTTCATAAGCCATATTCATCATCTTTGTGGAGACAAATGTTGTGGCAATTTTCTGAATGAACCTCTTGGTTCCCTAAAGAAATTATGGCTACACTGTAAATTTACTAATGAAAGGCCGTTTATCAGTGTTGTAAATAGGAGTGGTGCCAATACTGATGCCCATGTAAACTTAAAGTGCTTTAATATCTATTGACTTCATGAATCGTTAGTACTGCCAAAATGTATAGATACCATTATACTTACATGGTGTCATAACATTGGCAAAGTGGCGAGAACAACATGCAATATTTTTTAAATAGCACGGCATTTCTTTGAGTTACTGCTGGCAATAGAACATCAATCACCTTAATGATGGATATTCCAAAGATGTTTATTAATCTATTCATTTAATCTAAAATACCGACTCTTGGCATTTATAGAGCCAGTTCAAAGGAAGTGGAGTGCTTCTAAACCTCCGCAGTTACTTCTAGGGGCCCCAGTATGATGTCAGTTAAGTCTGGTTGAAATTGCGATCAGAATGCATACAAATCCTTTTCTACTAATCTATTCTGAAGATACCTAATCGAAATATATTTTCTCGTATGTGTCTAAACAAAATCTCAGTTTGAAATGTACTACATGGCTCTGCATGTGAATCCTTGATTTTTAAAGCCTATTGTTTTGCTTCCTGCCTCCCTTTCTTCCTTCCTCTCTTCTCCCTTCCCTCCTTCTCTGTCTCTCTCTTTCTCTCAACTGGAAAATAATCCTGTATCGCATAAGCTTTGATTGAAAAGAACTGGAAAACTGACAGAATTTCTCTGTGCCAAATTAAGAAATAGCATATGGTGTATGATTTTGACAATATGTAGTGAGATTAAAGACAGGTAGGATGGACAGAAGTGAAGGGCATGGAAGGACATTTGGAACAGATAGGAAAGGTGAGAGAAAGCCAGTTACAGGAGGAGACAGGGATGCCAGTGCTGTGGAGTGAATGTGTGAATGTGTGTCTGCATATTTATTCACATGTGGAATCCAAGTGCAGAGCTAACTTCTGGATTAAATAGTGTAAGCGGGACTCAATTTTTCTCCATCTCTCAGTTCTCACGATCACATCTTAAGTCTCTGACTTCATTTGGTTGCAAGATGGCGGCAGCACGTTGCCTCAATGGTGACAGCCTCTCAGGCTTTGTTCAGATCAAGCTGAAAAAGAGAGTCTCTCTCCCAGAAGCTCTATTGAAAGTCTATTTCACTCTGATTAGATCGCTGACGAATCCTGTATACCTTTCTAGAAGCAGAGGGTAAAATCAACTTCATTGTTTACATTGTGGACTAGACCTTGGGATTGTATCCCAGAGGAAAATGGGATACTGTTGGCTGAAAGAGGCCGCATGGATGTTAGGCATCAAAAAAAAAAAAAAAGTTTATTGCCAGCGAAACCACAAAAATCACAATGTGTACATACACAGGAAATTTCACATATCTTTGTGGAGGCCTATGGATCTCCTAGCAATCCATAGGTTCTAGTTTAAGAAACTCTAAAAATGACATTGAATCAGTGCCTTCTGAAACAAACAGAAACCAGCATTGCTAACCACAGCTACACAGGATAATGAGTTGTTCCTGGGATCATCTCCTGAGTAAGGAGACAAAATGAGAATAATGTGTAACTAGTAGTTTAAATGATAATATATTAATACATTAAGAATAAAAAGAAATATTTTCTTGTTAGCTAAAGTGGAAATGAGTCATTTAGCCTGGAGTTGTTTTTTTGTTTTTGTTTGTTTGTTTCCAATTATTCTGTGTAAGAAAAAGAATCAAAATCTTCCATTCTAGGTTAGAATTTTATACTGGCAACTTTGAAAGATTTACATATATATATAAATATATAAAGTTGCGATGTTGAAACAGCTTTTATTGCTTATGGGAGCCTTGTCTATATGCATTCTCAATCCCTTCAGTTTAGTTCACTTAACAAAAGTATTGATCAGGTCTATGAGAGTAATTTGTAAAGGAAATCATTTTTGATAATTGGACCAAACTACCCATTGACTTGCTGATTAGTTTTTTCTTTTTAGTGATATTTTATTTTGGAACATTTTAGTAAGGTCAATTATTTTCTTAATAATTATTTTTAATTGAAAAATTTAGAACAGAATTGATAGAAAGTATAGTTCAATCATAAGATTTGTTTCTTTTGTAAATGCCTAATTGCAATTGTGTATTTTGTATTAGGTCGAGAAGAAAATAAACTTTTAACAAGTTGGAGATCAGAGTAGCAGTCGCTGAGATAGAAGTCATAGAAATAATGTTCTTATATAGATTCTTCAGTTTATTGAGAAAAAGCAGAAATTAGCCTGGGATTTTCAGTTCCTTCACCAAGTGCAAGGAGAATTTTTCTTCTTAAGCAAATCAACATACCAGTGAAAGGCTTTTATGCTTATCAGATATGTTTGAAGAATAAACATGTTAAATAAAGGAAGGTGCTCTCTGTCACCTTTTGTCTCTTCACACAAATAAAAGTCCTCTGAAGTGAACACTGCTCCTCATGAATGGATAAGCTTTGTAACTAGAATCTTCCATTTATGACTAAAGTGAGTTGTCATTGCTCTTTATTAGGTTCAATACCCCTAATTGTGAGGAAGCACATTTTTTTCCCAGCAGTTAAAACCACCAAAAGACAGATAGTTGGGGGCAAGACCAATTTGCAGAACATATCTCCAAAGGGAGACCTGACCTTTCAGATTAACATGTTGCTTAAAAACAACCACCACCAGCTCCGAAAACGTGTTTACCACCAACTCGTGCATTGAAGGAGATTTGTGAACCTCGTCACTCTGTGTGTCTGTAGTTTTCATTTTATTTTTCTTTCTAGATTCCAACCTGTCTTTATGTAGTGTCAGTTATCTGTGACTAGGAAACAGCAGGTAGTTCATTCATTGAAAACTAGTTTACAGATATTCTTGCTATTCTTTTTGTTCTGTTTTTCAAATTTAGTTTTAATTTTAACTGAGGTAGGGAGTTGCTTCTCTCCATAATAATAAGTCATCAGTTTGGTGAAAAAGTGAGTTTTCTGAAGCACCAGTTTATTTAATGTATAAGAAAACCTTTAAGTTATTCATCAGTTTCAGCTGGAACAAAACATTGGTTATTTCTAAAGCAGTGGGTTAAGGCAGAAAACAAAGGTTAATCCTGTAATCCTTACAAAAGAGAGAAGACAGAGGACCAAAATATTGTACAAAAAATTCAAATGATATTTTCCTTATATGGTGTACAATTCAACCGGGTGGGTGTAAGTTTCAGAAAAGAGTAAATGCTTTCACAAATTTTGTAAATCATTAAAACGTTTCCTATTTTTAAATAATTATTTATTTAATTTTATTTATTATTATTATTTTTAAAATTTTCTATAGGGCACATGTGCTCACGAAAGAGAGAGAGAGAGCGTGAGCTGCCAGGTCTGGGACTCAAATTGTGGTCAGTCATGTGAGAGAC